ACCCCTGCTGTGCCTGGGTAGCACGGCTCGCCTGGCAGCATCGCCTCCACAGCCCCCTTCCCTCCCGGGGACACGGGGAGCGACACGGCTCTGGGACTTACCTGCCAGAAGAGCCTGCTTCAGCTCAGCATCCCCCAGCACCCCAGCGGCAGATCTGTAGAGCCCCTCGCTGTCGAGACCTGGGGAGCAGCCAGGAGAGAGGGGTCAGTCCCAAACCCCAAATCCTTCCTCCAATGCAATGGAAGTGGGCAGGGACTGAGACCACCAAGCTCTCTCACCCTGCCCACGCTGCACAGGTACCGGGGTGTGTGGGGAGAGGTTTGGCTCTCGGGGCATCTCCAAACACGGGCCGAGTGGGGGATCATGCCCGTGCACCCACATACGCCCCGCAGATGGCCGCCCGTACCTTTTTTTTCCAGCGCCTCGATGAGCCTGGCCACGGTCGGCAGCGCCTGCTCGGGGAGGGAGGGCTGCCCGCTGCCTGCCCGGGGAGCCCTGTGATGGAAAGATGGGGAGAAGTGGCTTGGAAGCCCCTGTCTGCAGGAATTCCAGTCTCTTTCCTCAGCTGCCCCAGGACAGGATCATGCTGCTGCTTTGGCACAGCCACAACCAACACTTTGGCTACCACGTGCCCAATTTTGGAAAACTTCCCCCTTGTTTTATCCTCTGTTTGCAGTAAGAGTCACCGTTGGGGGCTCAGCCACCTGCTGAGCTGCAAAGACCTGCTGGGACACCCGCCCTGCCAGCGGAGAACATCCCGCCCTGAGCCTGGGGACCCTTCAGGCCGAAACCCCTTCCCCACCTCTCCTCCCACGGCACTGGGACTGGCCCCTCTCATCATCCACAGCCCTTAGTGGCACCAGGTGGGAGATGGGGGTCCAGATCCATACCTGGCATGGACATAGCTCCATGCAGCTCTTGCCCACTTGGATTCTCTGGTGCCTACAACAGGGTTGAGCACAAGCCCAGGGAGGACTCAGCCACCCCTTTGGCTGGCGCAGACCTCCACTGGCCCTTGAGGAGCCCTTCAGTCAAACATGGGCCAGGCTTCCCATAGTGCAAATCCTGAGGTGCTGCCGACTCCTGGGTTTTATGCCAAGAACACTTCACCCCAGACCCTGCCAGAGAGGAGCAAACGCCCTCGCAGGGCTGAGAGCGGCTCTCCTTACCCCAGGGCAACATCCATCCGTCTGTCTGTCTGTCTCTCTGTCCCTTCTTATCACTCCAGCTGATAAACCCCTCCACCTGTGCAGGTTATACCTGACAGAGACCCCTGACAGTGTTGGGATTTCCCCCCCTCTCCCATTAGTGGCCTTGAACCCCCCCGGAAGGCAGTGGGCAGGGGTAAGAGGCAGGCAGGGGCTGCAGCACATCAGAGCCACCTGCGATCGCCAGCGTACAGACAGCACCTGGAAAGTCCGATGTGCCAAGAGACCTTTGTCTGTTTTATGTGGTGAGTGGATCTGTTCTGCTGGAGATATATTGAAAAAAAAATTATAGCAAATTAAATAAAGCTCGAGTCTGACTCTTCCTCCCAGCAAGTCATGCTCCAGCCTGGCCAGCTCCTTTGTTAGGTTCATTCTGTCTTTGGTTTTTGCTGTCTGGCAGAAGGCCGGGAGCTCATGTATGAAGCCAAGAAACCCATAACAATTTTAAAGAATGAATGAGAAAGAAAAAGGGACTTTGGGCAGGGCCACGCTGCCTTTGACCTTTTGCAAAAGCACGACCCAGCCATGACGGGTGGATCTGGGCTCTGATTTTCACTGCGGTGATGCCCTGGTTCTCCTTGGAGAACAGAGAGGGATGCAAACCTTCCGCTCACGAGTGGCTGATCCAGTCCCCAGGCACAGCTGCGACCCCTGAGCCCGGCAAGAGGGTCCCCTCCGCTGCCTGACAGGGATGTGCGGGTGCCTTGCGTGGGAATGGGGAAGATTTCAGGATTTAAAGCAAACCAGGTGGTTGGGAGCCCGTGGAAAATGTCCCCACTGCACAGGTGGCTTTTTGATTGAGGAAAACTGGGTTTTGCCCTCCAAGGCAATGGTTTAGGGAAATGTGGCAACAGCAAAAAATAGCTGCCTGTTTCTCCTTGATGGAAACAGCAAAGCAGGAATGGCCCCAAACTCACATTGGAGCTTTAGCCCATCCTCTCCCCCCTCAGGGTGCCAGGCTGGACACCAGCACCCCGACGCACCACTCGGCTCCAGTCCCAGGTGGAGCAAAGGCGATGCTTTGCAGTTGTGATGCTGCCCAGGACAACCAGGCAGGGGCAAAACAGCCCCCGAGCTCCGAGGAAGCCTGCTGGGGACTCGGATCCACTGCAGAATGATTTTTAGGATATTATTTAATTAAAAAAACCCTGAACATTCCTCCCCTCAGAGCCAGCCCTGGCTCTGGGGCACAGCTGGGAAATGCAGCGTCTCTCCCATCCAGGGCTTCATCCTGCTTGGGGTCCCCAGTGGGCACCAAGGGCGCACAGGGCAGTACGCTGCTGTCACAGAAAAATAAGCATTCGGGACAGCCAAAATAAATGTCCCTCAAAGCCTCCATCCGGGAATGGAAACAGTACAGGAAAAATTTAAAAAGAAAAAGGGGAAAAAAAAGTCCCTTCTCTTCCAAAAGCATTTTGGAGATTTTCACGCTAAGAGAAATCCCGCCAGCCGGGAGGTTTGGGTTTAAACGGGCATAGAACTGCATACGCTGCTCTGCTGCTGCAGAAAGACATGGTCATGGGCCACAAGTGTCCCCTGCCAAGGTGCCCACGCACTCTGGCTTCGCCCCGTGGAGGGGCACCCCGTGGGGAGGCAGCCCCCATCCCGCTGGGCAGCGGGGCAGGACACAAGGCCTTGGCCGGAGCATGTCCTGCAGATGGCAGCACCCTCCCCGCTCTACCTCCAAAACCTGGCTTCAGTGGCTTTTTCCTGATTAAAGAAATCCTCCATTGTACATTTTTTTTAAAATTTAATTTTTTATCCTCTTGCCCAAACGCACACAGGGCCAGGGGTCCTGTGCCAAGACCTTCCATGTGAGCCAGGCTCTCCAGCCAGGCTACACTTGCTGCTGGGGACGTGCCTTGACTTGTGGGGCATCACCATGTCCCTGGCACCTGTGGGCAGGGGTCCCCCGGGCACATCTCTCAGCCCCTCGGAGAGGGCCCATACCACCCCCACACCATGGGCCAGGCGCAAGGCAATGGTGATGGGCACCAAGGCCAGAAGCAAGAAGGTGGCTTCGTGCTTCTCTCTGGTGAACAGGGATGAAGAGTCCTTGGTCTGCTCCTGTCTGACCCAAGTCATCTACACCACAGCACTGAGTTTGCTAAGGCTCTGCCTGCCAAACAGCCAGGGTCAGAGGGCTCCTCACACACTGGTGAGCTTGACTGGGAAGGGGGCTCAAACCCCTTGTCTGGCAGGGTCAGCACCCCCAAAAAGCGGCCTCCTCCCTCCTGCAAAGGCAGCGCATAGCTGCTCACTGATCCTCACCCGCACTGCAGGGACTGTGGCTGCCTTGGCATACTCAGAGCATCGGCTGGGGAGGAGCACCCGTGTTTTGGTGAGGGGAGGGGCAGAGGGGGGTCCCAGTATCCTTTTGATGCTGTTGGGGGGTCTGAGCAGGGTCCACATGGCAACCCCACACGTGGTGGTGGATGGTGTTGGGGGAAGGAGTTGCCCCAGGTCAGCTGAGTCCTGCCATGCTCAGCCCCAGGGCCATGGGGTCCCCACCCCCTTAAATCCCAGTGGCAAGGCAGCCTTGAACAACATTTTGGAGGGAGACGGATGGACTCCTCATCAGCAGGTGCCCCTCTAAACATCTGATGCCTCTTCAGCCCAAGAGGGAAACAGCCTCTGCAGCTACTACATCCGTGCCTTGGTCCCAAACAGGGCAAGGAGCGTGCCCGAGGCGCTGGGCTGGCAGGCGGGGCGGTCTCGG